TGTGTGTGTGTGTGTGTGTGTGTGTGTGTGTGTGTGTGTGTGTGTGTGTGTGTGTGTGTGTGTGTACATAGACGCATGCGCAATTGGATTCCCTGTCTCAGTAACACAAGGTAAGCACCCCCACTCTTTCCTACCCCGACCTCGAACCTGGCAAAACTGTACCAGCCTCGAGGCATTTGCTGTTCCAGCTTTCTTTGTCACCGGGATGGGAGGGAGAGAGGAAAAATTCACTACTAAAGTGCCTAGCCCAGTACTTGGCTCTGCGGAAGCGCTGGATAAACCGGAGCTGTTAAGTTCTCTCCAGAAACGGGGCTTGCACGCTTGCATTGCACGTTTTAATATTGCAGAAATCATCATTAGCCCATATCTAAGTATTGGGGTGGGGATGCTAAAGATTCCCCCCCAATAAGCCACCCCTTGGTATGGCCAACAATTATCAGGCCTCTTATCAAACAATGCAACCACACGCCGCTCAGCCCCTCCTCCAGTTCCACCCTTTGACCCCCAAGCCCCAAGTCCCCCCCTCCCTTGTCTGGAGCCCAAACGGACTGCAGCTCTGGGCGGCCGCTCTCCCCCGCCTCGGGGCCGCAAGGGTTAAGCGGCGGCTTAGGGAGCTGAGTGACAGAACGGCCGGCGCTGGGGCGAGCGGACCAATCGGCGATGGCGGCCGCTGCCCACGTGGGCATACGGCCTCGCGATTGGCCAGCGCCTCCCGGCGGCCGCCCGCGAGTCCCGAGCCCACGTGCAGCTGCTGCTCGTTCAAAGTTCGACCTCGCGTTCCAGGTGGCGGCGGGGCGGGGCCAGAGCGGGGCAGGCGGGGCCGGGAGAGGTCAAACAGCCCCCGCGGGGAGGTGCTTCCCCTGGGCTTTAATTGGCAGAACCCTACAACCTCTGCCTTCTGTACTCGCTCTGGGCGTCCCTTTTCAGACAGGTGAGCCCCGGGGCGGTTTTCCTGGCGGATTCCAAGGTCCCTGGCTGGGGAGGATGCTGGAGGGAAGTTGAGGGATAGAACTGAAGTTAGGAAGGGGCCTGGAGTCCGCAGGAGTGATTAAGGTAGAGAGAGAGGTCTCTTTCTTCCTGTCTTTTAAATTCCTCACAAGTCCCCTGACGAACTCTTATTCATCCTTCAAAACCCATTTCCAGTGATCTCCTTCCCTGCTTTAGGAAATCAAATCAAAACCACGTTTGAGCTTTGGCTTCCTTCTCTGGCCTCCCCCAGCCCTGATTGCTTAGGGCAGGGGGTATATGTGTCTGGCATTGTATCCCCCTCCCCCTCATAGGGTGAAGCCCAGGCCTTTCTGGGTCCCCACCATTAATCTAGGCAGCCAGAGGCACCAGAGAGCATTTGATGAATGAATGTAAGATCTAGGGAGTATAGTGGAATGATGGAGGACCAAGAGGGGGCTGAGGGCCCAGGTCCCCGAGGAAGCCAGCGGTGGGTAGTGCAGGAGGCACCAGGGTGGGACGCGGGGTGGTTCTATCCCTGGCACTGCCCAGTCTTCTGCCCTCAGGACCTGCCATCATCTCCTTGTGACTTTCAGAGTCTCTGGCTAAAGCCCTGCTGGCTTTTCTCTGAAGATGATGTCTGAGAGCCTGCCCACCTCCCAGAAGGACCCTCACAGGACGGTGAAGGTGACCGTGAAGCCCCCCGGGAAGTTCAGTGAGGAGGACATGATCTGGCATCAGCCAGGCGGAGAGCCAGGTCCTGGGTTCAAATGCAGATGGCCTTCCCTCAGTTCTCCCAGCTCTCTCTGATCTTGGTGGTAATGACCCCATCACTGGCATCCCAACTGACAGGAGCCAGCGCTTCCTTTTAAATTAAATTTCCTTCTAATAAAACCCATGCATACATCATCTATTCGCTTAATATTTTACACACAGAAGCCATCTCCTCCCCTCCAGCCCTTACTTCCTAGAGGCGACTATTTCTAACAGGGAAGGGGTTGGCCAGCTTTTCTGTAAAGGGCCCAGTAGTAAAATTTTAGACTTTGCAGGCCAATGGGCCAAATCAAAGATATTCTGTAGGTACTTGAATAATGAGAGAAAAGGAATGCACTTCAGGTTTTAGGAGGTCCCTCCCTAGCCCCTGGTGGCACAGTGGTTAAAGTGATCGATGGCTAACCAAAAGGTCGGTGGTTCAAAACCACCAGTGGCTCTACGGGAGAAAGATGTGGCAGTCTGCTTCCGTAGAGATTTACAGCCTTGGAAAGCCTCTGAAGCTCTATAAGTCGGAATTGACTTGATGACAGTGGGTTTGGTTTTTCCCTAGCCCCTTGCTGGCTGTTTGAACCCACTCAGTGGCTCAGTGGAAGTAAGGCCTGGCGATCTGCTTCTAAAAAGGTGACAGCCGTGAAAACCTTATAGAGCACCGTTCAACTCTGCACACACAGGTCTCCATGAGTCAGAATCGACAGCAACTGGAAATGTTGACTTTTTGTGTCCATCTCACCTTGGAGCCCTGGTGGCCCAACAGTTAAGCGCTCAGCTGCTAACCGAAGGGTCAGCGATTGGAACCCACCCAGTGGCTCTGTTGGAGAAAGACCTGGCAATCTGCTTCTGCAAAGATTAAACCCTGTTGCCTTCAAGTCTATTGCGACTCATAGAAACCCTATAGGACAAAGTAGAGTTGCCCTGTAGAGTTTCCAAGGCTGTAATCTATGGAAGCTGACTACCACATCTTTCTCCCACCGAGCAGCTGGTGGGTTCGAACCTCTGATCTTTCTCGGTTAGCAGCCGAGTGCTTAACCACTGCGCCACTCTCCATTTCTAAGCAGAAATCCCCCTCAGGGGATAACACCCCGTCTCCCCCCTCTCCCCTGTGAACCCTCTTAACCCGGCCCCGGAGTCTACCAAAGGAGCTCTGGTGGTGCAGTGGTTAAGCGCTCGGCTGCTAACCAAAAGGTTGGCGGTTCGAACCCACCAGCTGCTTTGTGGGAGAAAGAGGTGGCAGTTGGCTTCCGTAAAGAAAACGCTATGGGGCAGTTCTACTCTGTCACATGGGGTCGCCGTGAGTTGGAATCGCCTTAGCGGTACCCGAAAACCCTAGTGCCTACCGAGGAGAAGAAAAACATTTGTTGTCATGTTGATGTTGATTCATGGCGACCCCATGCGTGTCAGAGTGGAAGTGTGCTCCATGGGGTTCAATGGCTGATTTTTCAGAAGTAGATGGCCAGACCTTTCTTCTGAGGTGCTTCTGGGTAGACTTGAACCTCCCACATTTTGGTTGACAGTCGAATGTGTTAACTGTTTGCACCACTCAGGGACTCCCTGTCCCGTACAGGGCTGGTCCAGTTCCTGGGGGCTTCGGGTGGTACCTAGGCACTGGATGGAATGGGTGTTTGAGAGGCTGGGGTCTTCAACCCTCCCTTCCATTTGACTCTTCCAGACTCAGACTTCCCCCTCCAAGGGCCTGCAGCAGCTGAGCGATCAGGATGCCTTGGGTCAGCTGAAGACGCAGTCCCCCAGGTGAGAACGATTCCAGGTGGCCAGGTGGTCTGAAGCCCTAGCCCCCACAGAGGGGAGGACTCCCACTTGGCCTCTCTCCTCGGGGATGGTCCAGAGGTCCCTGGGTCAAAAGCCAGGATCAGTAACGGGGCTATGGAGAGTCTGAAGCAAAGGAAAAACTCAGTAATACTGACCCTGAGTTTTATTGAACACCTTGATATTTTGGTGTGGCTGGAATCTGATTTTTGAAAACGTGGCCTTAAAATTGTGTTTGCCTTGATCGCCGCCTTCAGCCTGGCTCCTGCGGGGGCAGGGTCCTCAGGCTGCTTCTTCCAGCTCCTCTTTTTTCTCTCTCAGGGTCCTCCTTCAGCTGAGTGCACAGCTGGAGAACATCTGCCACTCGGTGAGTGCAGTGGGGGTCCCCAGGGGCAGGAGATGCCAGGGAGGGAGGCTAGGGGAGGGGCATGGGCAGCGGTGGTGCGGACCACCGGACACCCCTCCTGAGGGGCTCCAGCTGCAGCCTCTCGACCCTACTAAGCATGCTGGGAAGGCTGTTCTTGTTAGCTTCTGGAGCCCAGACGGGCCACCCCCTCCCCCGTCTCAGCTTACTTTCCCTTACTGTGAGCAGGTGAGTTAACCCCTCGAGCCCCAGCTTTGTCAAATGACTCTTTCTTAATTAATACCAGTCCCGCTGTGAAAACTGGAAATCCTGTAACGAAATTAAATGTTCACTTGAAGGCCTGGCCGTCTGCTTCTGAAAGGTCACAGCCTGGAAAACCCTGTGGAGCACAGTTCTACTCCTGCACACGTGGGGCTGCCTTGAGTCAGAGTTCACTACACAGCAATGGGTTTGAGTTTGGTGTTGTTTCATTTGGTCCACAGCTGGTTTTGGGGTGCAACAAATGATTGGAGCCCCTGGCCTTGAGGCGTTTATACACTCTAGTGCGGTGCTATCCTATAGAATTTTCCAAGGTGATGTGACAATTTTCCTATGTCTGCAGAGCCCTGTCTGGAACCCCGTAACCACATGTGAAGGAGCCCTGGTGGTGTAGTGGTTAAGAGCTCAGGCTGCTAACCAAAAGGTCAACAGTTCGAATCCACCAGCTGCTCCTTGGAAACCCTATGGGGCAGTTCTACTGTGTCCTGTGGGGTTGCTATCAGTCAGAATTGACTCGACCAAACAGCAACAGTTTTGTTGTTTTTTTGGTAATCACATGTGAAGGAGCCCTGATGGCACAGTGGTTCAATTGCTCAGCTGCTAACCAAAAGTTTGGCGGTTCGAACCCACTAACGACTCTGTGGCAGAAAGATGTGGCAGTCTGCTTCCATAAAGATTACAGCCTTGGAAACCCTATGGGGCAGTACTATCCTGTCCTATGGGGTTGCTATCAGTCGGAATTGACTTGACAGAACAACAACGGTTTTTTTTCCTTGGTAACCACATGTGAAGGAGCCCTGGTGGTGCAGTGGTTAAATTGCTCAGCTGCTAACCAGAAGTTCGGTGGTTCGAATCCACTAGTGACTTCGTGGCAGAAAGATGTGGTAGTCTGCTTCCATAAAGATTACAGCCTTGGAAACCCTATGGGGCAGTTCCACTCTGTCCTGTAGGCTCACTCTGAGTTGGAATTGGTTTGCTGGCAGTGAGTTTAACCACATGTGGCTACTGAGCACTCAAAATGCAGCCGGTGAGTCTGAAGAACTAAATTTTTGTCTTGTTTAAATTGGAGTCCCTGGGTAATGGTGCAAGTGATTCAGATGCTCGGCTGCTAACCAAAAGAGGGGAGGTTGAGGTCTACTCAGAGGTGCCTCGGAAGAAAGGCCTGGTGATCTACTTCTGAAAAATCAGCCACTGAAAACCCTATGGAGCACAGCCCAGTCCTACTCTGACACACATGGGGTTGCCAGGAGCTGACTCAGTGTCAACTGGTAGTTTAAATAGCCATGCTACTTGACTAGCAGCTGCCTCGTTGGCAGGGCTTCGAACCGGTTCGTTCCTCCCCAGATATACTAAATTGGAATCTATAATGAAAATGCAAGCTGGTGGGATTTAAAAAAAAAAAACAAAAAAAACACATGAAAAGGGTTTTTGGAGCAAAGGTAGCTGGGAAGGGCTTCTCAGAGGGAGTGATATTCAGGGTGGGACATGGAAGATAAGGGGCTACCTCTGGAGAGCAGGGAATGGTGTTCCAGGTAGAGGGAACAGCCAGTGCAAAGGCCCTGAGGCAAGACTGTGCCTGGCAAGTGGAGGAACAGTGAGGAGGCCCGTGTGGCTGCAAGGGAATGAGGGGGAGGGGCCGTTTGCACCGATCACCTCCCAGTGTGACTCCTGTTGATCATTGGCAGCTCCAGAAGATCCAGAAGGATCTCCAGGAACATCACAAGCAGGTGGGTGACTGACCGGGAGCTCGGTGTTACAGCTGCCCCTCCTTGAAAGACATGAAAAAGGGAGCGGGAGGGAGGAGTGAGGACGGGGTTGGGGTCATGCAGGGCCAGGGGAGGACCTGGGCTTTGACCCGAGGGAGGTGGGAGCCCTGGACCGCTGTGAGCACAGGAGGGACGGGCCTGACTCAGGTGCTCACGGGCGCCCTCTGGCTGCTGCGGAGGGAACAGAATGTGAGGGGGCAAGGATGGAGCCAGCGGACCAAGGCGGAGGTGACTGCGCTGGTCCAGACGGGAGGTGATGGGGCTGGACCAGGCAGATTCTCATGAGAAGGCAGCATTTAAATAAAGAGCAAGCCCTGCAAAAGGCTGGCAAAAGGGCACTCAGGTAGAGGTAGCAGACGTGCAAACGCCCCGAGGTAGGACCAGGCCTGGTGAGTTGGAGGAACAGTGAGGAGGCCCGTGTGGCTGGAGCGGAGTGAGCAATGGGGATGGGAGGAGGGGAGGGCAGGAAGGGGGCAGGGCAGGTCTTGCAGGGCCCTGTGGACTGTGGGGAGGGCTTGGGCTTTTACCCGAGGGAGGTGGGAGCCCTAGAGGGCTGTGAGCAGAGGAGGGACGGCCTGGATTTGGGACCCATCCCTAGGATATCAGTGGATCCCTGTATCTTGCAAGTGCGCCCCATCCTCCCTCTGAGCCTCTTCCGAGAGCCTCCCTGGGTTCCTGCGTGGCTCAGAGGAGACCCGGAGCCTGACAGGCACTTTGCAGCTTGCTTGCTGGGACATGAAGGGCTTAGTGTGTGCCCTGTGTGGGGGCTGCCATCTGCATGTGTCTGGTTCCCCAGGGCCAGGACCACATGGGAAGCGAGGCCAGGCCCTCCCAGCCCGGGGCACCCTGCCCAAGCTGAAGCATGCCCCCACCCGGCCTGTCCTCCGGCCACCTGGCCCTTTCTCCGGGGCCCTGGCAGGATTTGCTGCTCGTGCCAGATGTGACTGGCTGGGGGCCAGGACTGTGTCTGCAATGGTGGGCAGCTCAGGGAATAGGAAAGGCTGATCCAGGGTGAGGGGGGCCAGGAAGCAACCAGAACAGTTACTCATTCAAGGGAGATCTATCATCACCCACTCGCCAAGTACTGTTTCAGGCCCCAGGGAAACAGCAAAGGAGAATTCAGGCCAGTCCCTGCTCTTGCGGGAGAGGAGCCTGATGCCCAGGGCATCACCTTAGGTGGTAGGAACTGGGGTTGGGGGGCTGGGGGTGGAATAGAGCTCTCCCAGGGTGGGAGTGGGTTGCGATTTAGGATGGTCAGCGGAGGCTCCCCCAAGAAGGTGATGTTTGAATAAACACTGGAAGGAAGTCAGAGAGGGAGCTATGTGGGTATCTGGGTCGCAAAGCCTGTCTCAGCAAAGCAAACAGCAGGTGCAAAGGCCCTGAGGCAGGACCGGGCCTGGTGAGTCAGAGAAACAGTAAGGAGGTCCTTTTGACTGGAGTGAAGTGAGGGAGGGGAAGAGAGGAGGAGGGGAGGGCCCTGTGGGCTGCTGGGAGGACATTTACCTAAGGGAGGTGGGAGCCCTGGAGGGCTGTGGGCAGAGGAGCGGACAGGCCCTGACTTAGGTGCTCACCGGCGCCCTCTGGCTGCTGTAGGAAGGACAGACTTGAGATGGGGGTAGGCATGAGGGCAGGATGTGGGAGACCAGTAGGGGAGTCCAGGTGTGGATGCTGGTGGCCGAAAGGGGGTGAGAAGTCAGGATGTGGACTTATTTTGGATGTGGCCACTTGTGTTGCTGCTGGGCTCAGGAGGCCCCTCCCCACCCCATGGTGCCCCACAGCAGCTGGGCCTGGCATCTGGCCCCCACACACCATCTCCCCCACCCCCTCTGCTTCCCACTCCTTGTTTTTCCTGCCTCCTTGCTGCAGTGTCTTTAAAACCCCCGTGCTCCCCACACCTGCCTGCCTGCAGCCTTCCCCAGGGAGGACCAGCCAGCAGGCAGGAGGGAGCTGCGCGTTTTGTGCTGAGCACATTAAAGTGCCCATAAATTGCGCCTTAACGAGCTGGGGTGAATTGGCGAGGGCTCCCCTGGGGGCTGAGCTGGCTGAGCTGGCTCTGCTGGGGAATCCATCAGCAGACAGCTAAGAGGCATGGCCTGGAGCTGTGTGGGCTCAGATGGGAGGGATCCCACATGGCACCGCCTCCCTCCACTACCCTGTTCACCCCAACGCAGGGGAGGGGTGAGCTGTGGTTGAATCCCAGCAGGTAAACACTGCTTGATTTGGCCCCTTTTCTCTCTGTCTTCGGATAAGTGGTTTCGTTTCTCCGGGCCTCCGTCTTTTCATCTACAAAATGGGAATTCCGCTAGTATGCATTAGGCTCCTCTCTTTTTATAGCAATTCTTTTCTTTCATGAATAAGAACATTCTCCCAGGTTTCTGGAGTTCGCTCTGGGTTGGACAGTTCTGGGCAGCTTCTCGGCATCAGCGTGGAGGGAGTGTGCATAAATCCAGTGGGTCTGCCTCCAGAGGCCAAATCGGTGTTGTTCAGTATGGTAGCCATGGCCACGTGTGACTGTCATTTGAGTTCACGTGAAGTAAAATGAAGAACTATGTCGCTCAGTGGCATCAGCCCTACTTCAAGTGCTCAATAGCCACTTGAAGCTAGAGACTACCATATTGGATAGTGCATATCTAGAACATTCCATCATCGCTCTTACGAGTCTACCACTGGACTACGTATAGGTGTCTAGCTGCATACCTCCCTACCATGATACCTACGTATTATGCCAAGAAGGTGAGTCTGCCTGGGTCTCCGCACTGCTGACTCTTGGCCGGACTAGACGGGGGGTGCCCTTGTCCTGTTTTTTCTGTGTTCTCAACACAGTGCTGGGAATGTCCCAGAAACTACCCCTCTAGGTGCCTACAGGCTTGGCTTCTGTGGTCAATCCCCACTTTATACGCAAGGAAACCGACTCTGGAGAATTCTCTTGCCCAAGCTCACCATTTACTCAGATATTTGAGCCTCTGCTGTCTATCCAGGGGCAGTGGTGGTCCAGTGGTAGAAGTCTCACCTTCCATGCAGGAGACCCAGGTTTGATTCCCGGCCGGTGCACTTCATGTGTACCCACCCCCCGTCTGGCAGTGGAGGATTGCGTGGCGCTGCCATGCTGAACAGGTTTCAGCAGAGCTTCCAGACTAAGATGAACAGCAACTCTCTGGCTCCTCTAGGAAGAAAACCTCTTAAAAATCATGGAGACCTGCAGCCAAACCCTGGATTCCCAGCCTGTCACTGTGGGTTTCTGGGTCATCGAGGAGGGAGGGGCAGGGGGCATTTCCTCGTATCTCTCACGACCCTGTGTGCAGCACCATGTAAACCAGATCTCACCTGGTGATCAGTCCCAGAAACCAGCCAGCTTCGAGGCTCCCCGGCAGCCACGGCTCCAGACCCGACAGCCCTCCAACCTCCAGGAGCAGAGCTTCAAAGACGTTGCAGCCACGAGGTTGTCCGCCTGGTCACAGCAGCCCTCCCAAGCGGACGGCATCACCACCCACCGACCCCAGCCTCGTTCATTCTCCAGCTCCCAGCCCAGGCTTTGGCAGGATGTTTTGACTGAACGACTCTTTCAGATTTACGCAGGTGGCGTCCATGTGCCAGCGGAACAGCCGAGACACGGAGGTGGGTCTCCCTCAGGGTGAGGGCTGGTTCCGAGGGGCAGCCCAGGTGGGACCCTGCTGTTTGACTGTCTCTCCGTTGCTCTCCCCTCCTGTTGTCATAGCAACAGAGCAGGCTCCAGGCCTGGTGAGTAAATATGTCTAAACTGTACCGAGAAGGGAGGGTTTCTGGAATGAGTGGTTATCTTGGTTGAGCCCCTTCTGGTTCCCACCCTTGCCCTTCCTCCTTTCCTCCCTGCTGCCCATGGGTGTCTCTGAGCCTGCCCTGACATCATCCCTAGTACAGAAGGACTCGGATGAGCTAGAAACAGACGTGCTGCATCAGGTCAGTATCTGCAGCCTGGGACTCCCGGGGGGCGGGAAATGGAAGCTTCCGGAGCTGACCAGACCTCGCCCTGAGATTCTTCCTTTCTGCCACTCTGCCTGGACAAGAAGACAGGATTTCTGGCAGTCAGAGACTCCTGCACACACGGCTGGGCATAACTAGTTTCGCAGTTTTCCAGCTGCCTCTGGGCAGGCCAGCTGGTCTGACCAGGGTCTTCTATTTCTGCTGGGCAGGAAAGCAAGGAGGTCCTGGGATCACATGACTCCTTGGCAGCAGAAACATCTTCTGGAAATGCTTTGGGTAAAACTGCGATGGGAAAGGGCCGACTCAAGGAGGTGTGGTGAGCGCCGACCCTGAGGGGTCTAATCCCTGATGCTACCTGCTTTTGTCTTTGCCTAGCCCTCAGCCTGCCTACCTCCTCCTCCAGCTCCCCTGGGGACGCCAGAGAAAGGGGCACAGGTCTAGACATAGCAGCAGATGAGACACAGGTGAGACTCTGGGTCTGAGTTGGCATCTTCTGTTTTCCTGGCCCACGATCCCCTTCTGTCACCTCCTCCTTACCTGCAGCTGGGATGCCTCTCCGTAAAGACTGTCCTCCTGTTCCTGGGCCTAAGGCGGGCATGGGGCAGAGGGAGCACACCTGGGCACAGGGGGGCAGGAGAATACAGGTCAAGGTGGCTTCTCTGGGGTCAGCTGTGATCCTTGTTGCACCTGCAGGAGCCTCCTGGAATAGTGTATGAATTTTCGAAGCCCATGTAAGTGACCGGGGAACCCTCCCATCTCTGTACCTCTGTCCCTGGCAGGTGGAGGGAGAGGTAGGGTTGGTCTCCCGCTCTTGCCTGTCACCACCGTGCTGTCTGTGTCTGTTCCATCTTCAGCTGAGGAACCTGGGTAGAGATGCACATTATGTTCACACACATCACCACCTTCTCACATAACCAGCTCTGGGATCAAGGGATTTGGGAGAAGAATCCTGTGGGGTGGGGAAGGGGAGTGGGTGTTAGAACTCGATGCAGACTGTCCTAACCTAGTGGTTTGAAATTGAGAGAGTACTGATGTTGGGAGAGAAAGGCTTCGTGGAGGAAGGGGCGTAATAGGGCCTTGATGGATGAGTAGGAGTCTGCCAGAGGGGCAAAGCACTCCAGGCAGAAGGCTAAGGTGTGTGGTGATGGCAGAGTGAAAATACTTGGAGGAACGTGGGTGAGACCTTGGTGAAAGTGTAGGATAGTGGGGAACACAGCCTGTGATGAGAACCCCAGCATCTGAAAAACCCCAGTCCTTTGGGGTATAGATATCATGATGCGTGGCCTTCACCCTCCACTGAGCAGAGGGGGGCTAGCAGGCAGGTCGGTGATCCTGAGGCCTCCCCTCCCAAGATCCTGGGACCTCGAGGACTTTCAAGATGACTGTAAGAGGCCGGATACTTTCCCCTGGAAATCCAAGAAGTTGGCTGTCCCGTACAAGCTGGAGAAGAGGCGGACGTTAGACCACGGGGAGCCCGTGCTGGCGGTAGCTGTCAGCAGCTTCACGCGGCACGCCTTTACCTGCGGCAGGCGCGGCGTCAAGGTGTGGGGCCTAACTGGTCAGAAGACCAGGGACAGGTTCCCTGTGAGCCACATACCTGTACAGGTAAGGGGCCGGGGCTGGCGTCCAAGGGGCAGGGAAGACCGACCTGCAGGGGCAGGACCCTCACTCTGATTCTGCCTGTCCCAGACCCCCGGGGCCTACCTGCGGACCTGTCTGCTCTTCCCGGACAGCACAGCCCTGCTCACGGGCGGCAGCAACCTGACCGGCGTGAGCTTGTGGGACCTGGCTGCGTCCCAGCTCCACGTGAAGGCCCAGCTGCCCTGCCAAGGCCTCTCCTGCCAGGCCCTGGCCGCCAGCCCCCAGGACAGCCTGGCCTTCGCTGGCTTCACCGAAGGCGCCCTTAGAATCTGGGACCTGCGCGATGAGAGCGTGGTCAGGTGCAGCCAGGGGTGGGCGGGGCTTGTCAGCAAAGGTGCCTCCTGAGCGCCTGCCAGCCTCTTACCCTGAACTTGCTTTCCGAGAAGCTGGTTGAGGGGAGCGGGTTTAAATCTCGGCTGGGCTGCAGTTGTACTTTTTTCTGTCACGGTTTCCCCATCTGTCCACTGGGTATGCTGGAACTAATCTCAGAGGATTCTTGGAAGGGCTAAGTCATTTTAGACCTGGGTGGTGCAGACACTTGATGCACTCAGCTGCTAACTGAAAGGTTGGAGGTTTGAGTTTACCCAGAGGCACCTTGGAAGAAAGGCCTGGCAGTCACCTTCTGAAAGATCAACTATTAAAAACTCTGTGGAGTACCGTTCTGCTCTGACACACACGGGGTTGCCATGAAGCGGAATTCACTCGGTGACTGGCTCACATCACGTTAAAGAATGTAAAGCAACATATGCATGTTGCTTTCAGTAGGAGGCAATGCACGGTTTACAATATAGTATACCCCCATCTACACACCTAGCCACCTACCCACCAAACACACTATCCCCTTACCCTGTACAGGAGCGATTCCTATAGACCCATTTCAACCCTAGGGTAAACTGAGGGTAGAAGGATGGGGAGGAAGCTGGTTGAGGTTCCTGGAGGTTCTCCTTGCACCCACTTGGACAGATGGGGAAGATCGAAGGCTGGGGGTGGTGGGGGTTGCTATCTAGCTCTAGGGGCTGGGACTCGGGTTTGATATGCATGGGAAGGGGGGTACGTGAGGGCTGGAGAAGGGGTTCATGTGCCCGCCTCCGCCAGCTGCAACATACACATCCCATGAAAGCAGAGATTTTGGGGAGGGTGGCTCTGTCCCTTCGGTGCCAAAAGCCCAACGGACAGGTGAGTGAGTGTCTTAATTATATGCCTTGCTGCTGTAACAGAAATACCACAAGTGGGTGGCTTTAACAAACAAATGTATTCTTGCACAGTATAGGAGGCTAGAAGTCCAAATTCAGGTGCTGGCTCTGGGGGAAGGCTTTCTCTCTGTCAGCTCTGGAAGAAGGTCCTTGTCTTTTCTGAGCTTCTGCTCCTGGATGATCTTCGTATGGCTTGGCATCTCTCTTCCCTCATCTCTGCTGCGTTTTCTTGCTTGTTTAATCTTTTATACCTCAAAAGAGATTGATTTAAGACACACGCTATACCAGTACTGCCTCAGGAGCACAACAAAGACAGCCCATTCCCAAATGGGATTATAATCGGTTATTATAAGGGTTAGGATTTACTGCACCTATTTCTGGGGGACACAATTCAGTCCATAACAGTGAGTGAGCGCGGGCCAAGGCAGGTGGGCTGGTGGTGGTGCCCGCAGCCCCAACCTCAGGATCGTAACCCTGAGCCCCGGCCGACGCCTCCCCGACCAGGCACCTCCGAGACGGGAACGGAAGCGGGACCAGGAGCATCGTGATCAAAGATCACAATGTCTGGATAGGGGGTGTGGACGCTCACCTGCGGTGCTGGGACCTGCGCATGGTCTCGGGGCCTCGGGAATACCAGTTCGAGTCCCAGGTGAGGAGCCTGGGGCTGGTGGGCCTGCTTGGCCAGGCAGACCAGGTCTGTGGGGAGACGAGGGTCGTTGAACCCAAGTCGTGGTCATGTGCAGCGTTAGAGGTCATTGGAAGCCCTCTCCTCCTGGGTTACCTGGATACCAGTACCCATTGCCACCCAGTCGATTCTGACTCATGGTGACCCCACATGCGTCACACCCGCCCAGCGGCTGACTCACCCCTTCCTCGGGGCTCAGAGGAGAACTTTAGAACTCTGACACCATCAGGCAGTGGCCAGAATGCGGGGAATAGCTCTTCTCGCGCCCTGCTGGCCACTCGGAGGGCAGTCTGGCAGCTTCTGTTACAACGCAAAGGTGGGAGCGGTGGCTTAGTGGCAGATTTCTCACCTCCCATGCAGGGGACCTGGGTTTGATTCCTGATCAGTGCACCTCGTGTAGCCACCGCCTGTCTGTCCCTGGAGGCCTGTTTGTTGCTGAACGAGTTTCAGCGGAGCATCCAGACTCAGACTAGGAAGAAAGGCCTGGCGATCAACTTCTGAAAATCAGCCAGTGAAAACCCCGTGGATCATAACAGTCTGATCCACAGCCCGTCATGGGGATGGCGCAGGAACGGGCAGCGTTCTGTCCCGTTGTGCGTGGGGTCGCTGTGAGTCAGGCTGAACCGTCAGGCTGACAATGATGGTTCAGTATTCACGAACTCTGTGGAATTTATAGACCACACCTACCACAGATAACAAGAATAGACTGTTAGCCGTTTCATGCCCTGTGTCAGGAACTCATAGCTCACTTAGTTCTCGAATAATCCGTAAGGTAGAGAAGTGGTGGTGGTTAATTGTTGTCAAGTCATTCTCAACTGACATGCAGAGCTGACCTGTGCCCCATAGGGTTTTCAAGGCTGTCACCTTTTGGAAGCAGGTCACCAGGACTTTCTTCCGAGGTGCCTCCAGATGGGTTTGAAATGCCATCCTTTCAGCCAGTAGTCAAGTGCTTACCTGTTTGTACCACCCAGGGACTCCAAGGTTGGGAGGACTGGGCCCATTGTACAGGTGGGGAAAACAGAGGCACAGAGCAGTACAGTCATTTGCCCAGGGCCAGGCGGCTGGCTAGGAAGTGACCCAGGACTTGAATCCAGGCAGTCAGCCGCCAGCACCTTGTCTTCCCGCCTGGCCTCCTGGATCAGGCCGGGACCTGAGGTGCCTTCCTGCCTCCTGCCCCCAGATAATGAGCCTAGCACCCAGCCCCAGCGAAGACTGGGTGCTGCTGGGCATGGCCAACGGCCGGCAGTGGCTGCAGCACACGAGCAGGAGCGAGGGCCTCGTGGTCGCAGATGACTGCAGCGCCGTCCTCGGCCTCAGGTTCTCCCCTTACGGTAAGCCGCCCCGCGGGCCCTAGCTTCCCCCAGGCGCCTGCCTGCTCTGATCAAGGCCCAGCAAGTGCCGGCTTCTGCTCACCTGTCTTGGGTATCTGCTGTTGCTATAGCAGAAATACCACGGGGAACGGCTTTAACCGACAAATGGATTTTCTCACAGTTTAGGAGGCGAGAAGTCTGAATTCAGGGTGCTGGCTCCAGAGGAGGGCTCTCTCTCTCTCCACCCCCGCTCCCCTTTAGGGGAAGGTCCTTGTCCCTTCAGCTTCTGTTTCTTGGTGATTTCCACATGGCACATGCACGCTTGCTTCCTTCTAAGCTTCATCTGCTCATTTTTATTTCTCAAAGGTGGTGGTTTATGACACATCTTACCTGGATATGGCCTCATAACATAACAAAATCCCCATTTCCAGATGGGAGCCCTGCTCGCGCAGTGGTTAAGATCCCAGCTGCTAACCAAAAGGTCGGCAGTTCGAATCCACCAGCTGCTCCTTGGAAACCCTGTGGGACAGTTCTACTCTGTCCTGTCTGTTCCCTACCAGTCAGAATCGACTCAATGGCAACAGATTAATTCCAAATGGGGCCACATCTTTAGGTATAGGGATGAGGATTTACAACACAAAACTTGGGGGATGCAGTTCAATCTCTAACACCACCCTTGGCATCTTTCGGACCCCCAAGTCCTTCATTAGCAGAAACCATTTCTCTGGTGTACCCTGCATGGTGGGGAAGGAGGTGGGGAGTCACGGGGGGTTGGGGGAGGAAGGCCAGGAGTCAGTGCCGCCATCTTGCAGACCACAGACAGAACGGGGCCTGTGTTCCCATGTCTCACTCCTCCGGGGCCTTGCCCTCTGCCGTCACTCTCCCTTGTGACCAGGTACCCCCTCTGCTTCCTGCCAGGCCAGTGGTGGATGAGCGTGGGGTTGGACGACCTGATCAGCATCTATAGCATGCCTTTAAGAAAGAAGCTGTTCCAGGTACCGCAGGGGCCAGGTGGGTGGGCAGGGTCAGGTAGCCCGGGTCTGAGCCCAGGGGACCTGAAGGGACTGCGTCTGGACCAGCGGACAGCATGGCATCGGGTTGGTTATACATAAGCCCCCCCCCGCCGACTCGCTTTGCCCCTCCACCCTCCAAGGTTCCAGAGACTTGTGTCAGGTGCTGTGATGTGGCTTTGAACAACCGCCTGATTGTCGCGGGGTCCGGGGACAATGCCTCCGTGTATCAGGTCACATACTGAGCGAGAGGCCTCGTCTCCGTCGTCCCAGCTCCGTACCTGCAGCTGCTGCTCTGGGCTCTTCTCGTTCTGTCCTTTGGTGGAGGGCTTTTCCACAGAGTTGCAAGGCTCCGCCGGGGTTTTGCAGACTCTGATCCTTGTCAGGTGTAATAAAGCAATCAGAAAACGCAGAGCTGGCCTGGGTCTGTGTCCTACCCCCCAAAGGTTGTTGGGTGCCACCACGTCGACTCCGACTCACAGCGACCCCATGTGACCGTAGACCTGCCCCATAGGCTTTCCTACGCTGTCATCTTTACGGGAGCAGATGGCCAGGTCTTTCTCCCGTGGAGCTTCAGCTGAGCTTAACCATTTGCACCCACCAGGGCTCCTTGCCCTTCAAAGGGGAAGGGTCCATCTGTCAAAATCTGGGACTTCACCCAGCCAGTGGCTTTTTGTCTTGGATCCCACCTTCTCCTTTGGAAGCCAGAGCAAAGCCACTAACTCCACCGTTGAGGGAAAGTGGTTTTGTGTGATTTGTTCCAAGTCCCTGGGAGGTGCAAATGGTGAGCATGCTTGGCTGCTAACCAGAAGGTAAGAGGTTCGAGTCTACCCAGAGGCACCACGGAAGAAAGGCCTGGTGATCTACTTCCCAAAAATCAGCCCCTGAAAATCCTACAGGGCACGCTTCCAGTCTGACACTCCTGGGGCCCCGTGAGTTGAAGTTGACTCAAGGCAACTGGTTCTACTTATGATTCGTACCATGTGATTTTGACACATCAAGGGGGCCGAAGTGCCACAAGACCATCTGTCGAGCTGATCCAGCCTCACCCCACACAGAGACTTGTTCCAGCCCCTGTTTGCATGCTTCCAGGGACTGGGCGCTCAGTCCTTCCCAAGGCAACGTGTTCTGTCATACCAGTCCTCACCTGGGCAACTGTGCACCCAGGGATGCTGGGCGACATCTGGGGACATCTGTGGTTGTCACGACTAAGGTGGGGGGGTGCTACTGGCATCCAGTGGCTGGAGGTCAGGGATGCTGCCCGACACAGGATGCCCGATCCCAGAGAAGGATCCAGCCCTAGCGTCAGCAGTGCTGAGCGGGAGAGACCCTGTGTTCGTTATTTGGAAAATACTGAGTTCGATTCCTGCTCTCACTGTACACCAGAATAAATTCCCGATGGTCAGACGGTGTGAACCGGGGGGCCCTCCAGCTCCTGTGATTTCCCTCCTCTCTCCTCCCACTCAGTGTGTGGATTTAAATGTGGGCAGTGTCCTAGGACATCAGAAGGTCAGGTGATTATGGGACGCAGAATCTCTTGGAGGCCAGTTCAAACCCAGGGTGGTTCTGCCCCCAGGGGACACTGGGCAATGTCTGGGGACGGATGTGGTTGTCACAACTGGAAAGGGGGTTGCTACTGGCATTGAGTGGGTGGAGGCCAGGGATGCTGCTCAACACCCTTCAGCGCACAGGACGCCCAGTCCCGGAGGACGATCTGGCCCCCGTCAGCAGTGCCCAGGTTGGGAAGCTGGTTTATGGCAAGAGTTGCCTTTGGCGACCTTTCTTCCATGCTGTCAACCGGGCTCTGAAAGCACCGTTTGATCCCTGTCTCTTCCGGCCTGGAGGGGTCCCAGGTGGCTCTAAGGCGTCTCTTGGTCTCCTCAGCCCTGCCACACCCCCGTGAAGTGTCATCAGAATCCCCGTTTCCAGCAGGGACCTGCCGTCTCCTCCAGAATGTCCCCAACACCATCCTTGCTCCCCCTCAGCCCTCTCCAGCTCACGGAAGCTTCCAGATCACAGATCATTATGTCCCCAGCCCCGTTCCCACTCCAGCTCATAGTTCCACGCCCTCAGCGGCTGAAACCTCATCCTGAGACCCCACCACCCCCGCCCTCGTTGCTAAGGAAGAACCCGCCTGCCCTTGGCTTGCTGGCCAAGCTCCTCCAAGCCTCTGGGCCTTCTCACAGACTCTTCCCTCGGCCCAGTGAAGTTGTCTCTTTTTTTATTTCTCTTAATTGTACTTTAGATGAAGGTTTACAGAACTAGTTTCTCGTTAAACAGTACACATATTGTTTTATGACATTGGTTAACAACCCCACGACATGTCAACACCCTCCCTTCTCGACCTTGGATTCCTTACTACTAGCTTTTCTGTCCCCTCCTGCCTTCTAGTCCTTGCCCCTGGGCTGCTGCTGTGCCCCGTTAGTCTCGTTTTGTTTTATGGGCCTGTCTACTCTTTGGCTGAAGGGTGAACCTCAGGAGTGACTTCAGTACTGAGCTAAAAGTGTATGTCTGGGGGCCATACTCTTGGGGTTTCTCCAGTCTCTGTTAGACCAGTAAGTCTGGTGTTTTTTTGTGAATTAGAATTTTGTTCTGCATTTTTCTCCAGCTCTGTCCAGGACCCTCTGTTGTGATCCCTGTCCGAGCAGTCGGTGGTGGTAGCCGGGCACCATCTAGTTGTGCTGGACTCAGTCTGGTGGAGGCCGTGGTAGTTGTGGTCCGTGAGTCCTTTGGACTAAGTTTTTCTTCAGTTCTCTTCATTCTCCCTTGCCCCAGACGGGGTGAGACCAGTGGAGTATCTGAGATGGCCACTCACAGGCTTTTAAGACCCCAGACATTACTCACCAAGGTAGGATGTAGAACATTTTCTTTATAAACTATGTTATGCCAGTTGAGCTAGATGTTCCCCGAGACCATGGTCCCCACAGCCCTCAGCCCAGCAGTTCAGTCCCTCAGCGAGTTTGGATGTGTCTATGGAGCTTCCATGACCTTGTCTTGTACGAGTTGTGCTGGCTTCCCGTATTGTGTACTGTCTCACCCTTCACCAAAGTTACCACTTACCTACTGTCTAGTTAGCGTTTTTCCCTCCCCACACCTCCTCTCCCTCGTAACCATCAAAGATTGTTTCTTTTTGTGTGTAAACCTTTTCATGAGTTTTTATAGTAGTGGTCTCATACAGTGTTTGTCCTTTTGTGATTGACTTATTTCACTCAGCATAATGTCCTCCAGTTTCATCCATGCTATGAGATGGTTCGCAGATTCATTGTTGTTCTTTCTCGTTGCACAGTACTCCATTGTGTGTATGGACCATAGTTTGTTTATCCATTGATCTGTTGATGGGCATCTAGGTTGTTTCCATCTTTTTTGCTACTGTGAACAATGCTGCCATGACATAGGTGTGTATATGTCTATTCGAGTGACGGCTCTTATTTCTCTAGGATATACTTCTAGGAGTGGGATTGCTGGATCATATGGTATTTCTATTTCTAGCTTTCTAAGGAAGTGCCATATCATTTTCCAAAATGGTTGTATCATTTTGCATTCCCACCAGCAGTGCATAAGTGTTCCAATCTCCCCACAGCCCCCCAACATTTGTTATTTCCAGTGTTTTTGATTCGTGCCAGTAATGTCGGGGTGAGATGGTATCTCATTGTGGTTTTGATTTGCATTTCTCTGATGGCGAGTGATCGCGAGCATTTCCTCATTTATCTGCTAGCCGCTTGAATGTCTTCTTTGGTGAAGTGTCTGTTCATTTCCTTTGCCCATTTTTTAATTGGATTATTTTTTTGTTGTAGAGGTGTTGGATTTTCTTGTAGATTTTAGAGATTAGACCTTTGTCTGATTTGTAGTGGCCAAAATTTTTTTCCCAGTCTATAGGTTCTCTTTTTATTCTTTTGGTGAAGTCTTTTGATGAGCATAAGTGTTTAATTTTTAGAAGATCCCAATTATCTAGCTTATCTTCTGGAGTTTGTGTGTTGTTGGTTATGGTTTGTATCCTGTTAATGCCGTGTATTCAGGCCTCTAGCCTTGACCCTATTTTTTCTTCTATGATCTTTATAACTTTCGGTTTTATATTTAGGTCTTCGATCCATTTTGAATTTGTTTTTGTGTATGGTGTGAGGTATGGATTCTGTTTCATCTTTTTACAGATGGACATCCAGTTTTGCCAGCACCATTTGTTAAAAAGACTGTCTTTTCCCCATTTAATGGACTTTGGGCCTTCGTTGAAGATCAGGTGACCGTAGGTGGATGCGTTTCCATCTGGGTTCTCGATTCTGTTCCATTGATCAATGCGTCTGTCATTGTCCCAGTACCAGGCTGTTCTGACTACTGTAGCTGTATAGTAGGTTCTGAGGTCAGGTAGTGTGAGTCCTCCTACTTTATTCTTCTTCTCCAATAGTGCTTTATTTATCCAGGGCTTCTTCCCTTTCCATATAAAGTTAATGATTAGTTTTTCCATCTCTTTAAAGAATGTTGTTGGTATTTGGATCAGAATTGCATTATATTTGTAGATTGCTTTGGGGAGAATTGACATTTTCATGATCTTGAGTCTACCTATCCATGAGCATGGTACGTTTCTCCATTTATGTAGATCTCTCTTGGTTGCTTGCAGTAGTGTTTCGTAGTTTTCTTTGTGTAGGGCTTTTACATCCCTGGTTAGATTTATTCCTAAGTATTTTATTTTTTGAAGTCATCTCTTGACCTTTTTGAATGATAAGGTTGGCAGTTCGAATCCACCCAGAGGCACCTCGAAAGAAAGGCCTGGTGACCTGCTTATGAAAAATCAGCCACCGAAAACCCTATGAAGAGCAGTTCTACCCTGACAGGCTTGGGGTCGCTAGGAGTCAGAATTGACTTGATGGCAACTAGTTTATTTTTTGGTTTTTCTCATTCTCTAGCCCTCAGCTTAACCGTCCCCTTCTCTAGGGCAGTGACATTTGCTAAGCACTTTCCCAAGGACCAGGCAGCATGAGCCAGGCTTTTGTGAATTATCGCTAAGCCTCACAGGAAGCGCAGCTGCGCCCTGAATAGCTGTGTGCTCCTCCACTATTCCCCAGCCCTTTGGACTTCAGCAGCATCTTGGAACGACTCTGTGCAAAAGGCTTAGAGTCACAGATACGTGAACCTTTTGGGCCAGAGCTTTTAACAACTGCGAGGCTTCCTCCCCGCTGTGCTGGACCCTGAAATCACATAGCGAGATGGTGGAAGCTCCACCAGCCCGGAGCTCTGAGTGACCGTTTGGAGTTAAGCCCCGCACGCCCCATGGGCATAAACATAAGTGAGAAAGGACTGTTTGCTGTGCTAAGCCCCTGAGATCTGGGGGTAGTCGTTATGGGGTATAACCTCAGCTTTACTCGTTGCCGTCGAGTCGACTCCAACTTACGGCGACCCTGGGTGTGTCAGAGTAGAACTGTACTCCGCAGGGTTTTCAATGGCTTATTTTTTTCAGGAGTCGGTTGCCAGGCCTTTCTTCTGAGGTGCCCCTGGGTGGATATGAACCACCCCCCCACCCAGCTTTTCGGTTAGTAGCAGAGTGTTTAACCATTTGCACCATCCAGGGACTCTATAACCTCAGCCCTTCTGTCGAATACAGCCCGTTTCTCACTGTTGGCCGCCGTCAAGTTGACCCCCAACTCACGGCGACCCCATGCGCAATGGAACGAAATGCTGCACCATCCCCATGACTGGTTGTGGACCAGACAATGTTCCCTTGTGAGCCATAGTGTTCATTGGCTGATTTTCAAATGTTGATTGCCAGGCCTTTCTTCCTAGTCTTAGCCTGGAAGCTCCTCTGAAACCTGTTCAGCATCATAGCACCATGCAAGCCTCCACTGACAGTCGGGGTGGCGGCTGTGCATGAGGGGCATTGGCCAGGAATAAAACCCAGGTCTCCCGCACAGAAGGTGAGCATTCTACCACTGAGCCACCCTGCCCATCCCATACCCAAACCTGTTGCCACTGAGTCGATTCTGATCATAGCGACCCTTTAGGACAGAGTAGAACTGCCCTATAGGGTTTCCAGGACTGTGATGTTTATGGAGGCAGGCTGCCACATCTCTCTCCCGTGGAGCAGCTGGTGGGTTCGAACTGCTGACCTTTTGGTTAGCAGCCAAGCGCTTAACCACGGCACCACCAGGGTTCCTTCTGTTCACAGTGGTGGCCTCAGCATTTACATGCAGAGTGAATGAATCATCTCACTGTCCAGCTAGGGAAAAAGAGGCCGAAAGAAGGAAAGCGACTTACCCCCTCCGGGACGGTGCCCAAGGAAAACAACGATCCCCGGCTCCCCAGCCCCAAGACAGAAAGGTGGTTGTGATAAATACATTTATTTCCCTGAAGCCCCCCAGCCCATTGGTCCCCACATCCAGCAGGGAAAAATACGGGGGCCAGCCAGATAGCAGACGGGATCGAGCGTATACAGGTGTGGCTGAAGAAGGGGGCGTTGGGGTCTCTGTCCCGGACGCCCCTCCCCCAGGAGTCGGAGTGCAGGAAGAGAAGGGGGTCTCAGTAGACCACCTCATACACCGTGGCCTTCTTGTCCCCCGAGCCGGTCACGATGTACTTATTATTCCCGGAGATGTCACAGCTCAAGACGGAGGATGACTCCTTGGACTGCGGATGGGGTGAGGGGAGAGGGAGGAGAGGTGAGGTGCGGCCAGCGCTTACGTATTCTTTGATTCCTGGTTTCTGACTACCTGGAGTGATGTTCAGGGGGAAGAGGATGGGTTTATGCTGTCTAGGCTGGGGCAGAGTCAGGACTCAGGATGAGGACTCCCAGAGCGGGAAGCCAGGACTCTCCTGACGGGGAGGAGGGAATGTTCCAGAATGTTCTCCAGAGAACGATCTTTTGGAACTGAGCCTTGAAAGTGAGAAGCTTTGTACAAGTAACGATGCTCCTGCTCACTTGAAACCCTTTCCTAGGAAGCTCAGAGAGGGTATGCACCAGGCCAAGGTCACACAGCATTGCAAAGGGCCAAGGCTTACAGCCAACAGGACCACCTACCCCAGGGGTGGGCAAACTTCCTGTAAAGGGCCCCATGGTAAATATTTTCAGCTTTGCAGGCCACATAAGTCTCTGTCAGCTATTCCACTGTGTTGTTTTTTGCAACCCTTAAAAAATATAAAAACCACTTCACGCCCACCAGGAGGGCTATAAGCCACCATAGACAATACATAAATGAATGGGTGTGGCTTTGTGCCAATAAAACTTTATTTACAAAAATAGGCAGGGGGCCAGAATAGGCCCCTGGGCTGAAGTTGCCAACCCTGCTTTGTAGCTGAAGCAGAGGAGAGCTTGGAAGGATCCTGGGGATCCACCAGGACAGGGTGCTTCCATTGTGTCACCGCCAAGGCAGCCACCTGGGGCACCTGGGGACATAGCATCCTGCCAGGGGTGGGGAGTTAGTGGGGGCTGCAGACCCAAGTACCTGGAAAATGCTGGCTCCATACGGCGTCCTCCAGGCATTAAGCAGGTTGTCTTTCCCGGTGCTCACGAACCACCGTCCTGGGGGGAGGAGGGCATCAAGGGGATGAGGAGGACGGGACTGGGGCTGGCCTCTCCCTTTCTTTCTGGACACTTCCACCTTCATTTGAGGAGCATGAGGCCCCTTAGAGACCTGAGGCTCAATCCTTGACCCCATTTTCCAGATGGTAAAGTCAAGGTTCCAAAGGACTGCGCCTGGCCCTGAAGAAGGGGGAGCCCTCAGATTGAGGTGCCGGGTAAAACACAGGATACCCAGTTAAATCTGAATCTCAGATAAACAACAAATAACTTTTTTGTATAAATATATCCCAAATATTATTTGTTTTTGAGTATAAGTATGTCCCATGCAAACTTGGGATACACTCATACTAACAAATCATTTGTTTTTTCAGTATAGGTACCTCCCATGCAATATTTTGGACATATTTATCCAAAAATGTTATTTAAAAAATTTTTTAATTGTGGAAAATATGTAACAAAACGTTTGCAATTTCAACACAGTTCAAATGACCAATTCAGTGACATTAATTATGTTTACCTTGTTCAACCATCACCATTACCCATTTCTACAGTTTTCCATCACCCTTAACAAGCTCAGTGTCCCCTAAGCAATGTTGTTGTTGTTAGGGGCCATCAAGTGGGTTCCAACTCATAGCGACCCCATGTTCAACAGAACAAAACACTGCCCAGTCCTGCACCACCCTCACAATCCTTATGTTTAAGCCCATTGTTGCAGCCCCTGTGTCAGTCCATCTCACTGAGGGTCCTCCTCTTTTTCGCTGACCCTCTACTTTACCAAGCATGATGTCCTTCTCCAGGGACTTGTCCCGCCTGATAACATGTCCAAAGTATGTGAGATGAAGTCTTGTCATCCTCGCTTCTAAGAAGCGTTCTGGCTGTACTTCTTCCAAGACAGATTTGTTTGTTCTTCTGGCCGTCCGTGGTATAGTCAATATTCTTCGCCAACATCATAATTCAAAGGCATCAATTTTTCAGTCTTCCTTATTCATTGTCCAGCTTTCACATGCATAGGAGGCGATTGAAAACACCATGGCTTGGGTCAGGCGCACCTTAGTCTTCTAGGTGACATCCTTGCTTTTCAACACTTTAAAGAGGTCTTTTGCAGCAGATTTGTCCAGTGTAATACATCGTTTGATTTCTTGACTGTTACTTCCATGGATGTTGATTGTGGATCCAAGTAAAACGGAATCCTTGACAACTTCAGTCTTTTCTCCTTTTATCATGATGTTGCTTATTGGTCCAGTTGTGAGGATGTGCTTTCTTTACGTTGAGGTGTAATCCATCCTGAAGGCTGTGGTCTTTGATCTCCATCAATAAGTATTTCAAGTCCTCTTCACTTTCAGCAAGGAAGGTTGCGTCATATGCATAACACAGGTTGTTAATGAGTCTTCCTCCAATCCTGATGCCCCGTTCTTCTTCATAGAGTCCAGCTTCTCGTATTATGTGCTCAGCAGACAGTTGAATAGGTATGGTGAAAGGATACAACCCTAATGCACACCCTTCCTGACTTGAAACCATGTAGTACCCCCTTGTTCTGTTCAAACAACTGCCT